CACAGCAGGCCAAGCAGCATCATAGGAGCAGAGAGGCTGATGCTGCTTGGCCTGCTGTGTTCATCCAGCCCTGCACCTTGTTGTCTCTCATCTTTCAACAAAAGGTAGGTTTAGAGAAATAATTCTAGAGGATCAACAGGCTAGGACAGCTTATAGACATGGCTGCCTGCCAAAGGCCAAAAAGGAACTAGAGGGGTAAGTTTGTGGAAGGTTGTAAAGCAGGAGAAAGTTACAGAAAGGTTAAGGCCATAGAGGAATTTGTACACAAGGGTGGTAACTTAAACTGTAGCCACTGGGATTGTGAAAGCTGATGTAGGTTAGTGAATGTGGCTATAGTTCTAAAGTGGTTCAGTGACTGTGCAATGGAAATATGCCCACATAAGATAAAAGGAATGTTTCTAAGATTGTTCACTGGGACAAAATCTAATTTTGTGACACAAGGGCTGTGACCCAGTCATACGTTCAAAAGACCAGGTTCAACTCAAAGTGAAGGAGTTATTCGTCAATAACACAAGCAGTTTTTTGGGACGCCCTTGCAAATCAGTAATTTTTTGGGAGGGGGGAAATGGTGGCAGTAGGATGGGGTTTGGACAGATACCACTATTTTGCAGCTCTACTGCACTCAACCTGGCAAATAGCAGGAGTAAAGATTAGGGATGATATCAAGAATTCTAGGAAGTATAGAAACAGATGGGAGACTGTTTCTAGGTTGCCCAATTTAAGCAGCAAAATTCTACATCTGACACCTGCACTTCGTGTTTTGGAAAAAAGTCAGTGCAACCTGTAAAAAACTCAAGGCACAGATGTAACACCAGTTGGTCAGTGACAGGAAAACACGTGCCACAGCAGGAACAGAAGACAAGGCATAACTCGTTTGAAAAGCAGCATCTCAGAAATTCATTTTCCTCTCTGCCATTAAGTTGCTGGAACCAAATTGCCTACACATGTCCAACAACCGAAAGATGGCCACTTCACAGGCAGAAGGCTTTTCTTTAGAAACCTATTATCAACTCAAGTACTTAAAAGCAGAAAAGTTGATTTTGCATTAAGTTTAAAGCCAAGAAACTTTCAATCTTGTACCAATAGTCAGTTCACACATTTCACTTTATATCCATGTAGTCCTTTATGCAGAAAAACAAAGATTAAAAAACGGAACAATTTCTACCAATAGAGTTGGTGTCAGAGAACCACATTACACAATGAGTGCCTGTCAACTGGGCAGGAACAAGTTGAGAAAGATTAGGCTGTGACAATCTAATCTCAGTATCAGTAATGCATTACCTCATTTGTTCTTAATTGAGGAGTGTGTAAATGACAGAACCCATTACCCTGCAGAAGCTGGGACTGCAGCCAAACCCCAGATAACATTGCTTGGCTTTAATGTAGGAGAAAAAAATGAAAGCTTGCCTTGTCCATGTGCCACTTGCAGCCCACTCTGGCTGAAGCTCAACTCTGGAATGTTTAAAAAAGTCAATTCTAACTCTATTGGTAAAGTCTGACTGCAGAGTTAGTCAGAACTTGCGATTCCAAGTACTACTCTACAATTTAGTTGTCTACATTGAAGTTGGTGGATTGAGACAGTTGAAATGTTGTGAACATCAAGATGGAGAATCTGTGGATTGTAATTTTCCAGCATCTAGGTTATTCCAGGTAGTAGGATGTAGCAAAAAGGCATTTTCTGCCTAAACTTCAATATGGAGCACCCAAACTCAACAAGTTCCAGTCATTGTCCTTATCAGTCCAGAATTGATGCAAGTTATAAATTCTGCAGCCTTTGGACAGACATGGGGGATGCCCATGTTGGACTAGGGTGGACAAGGTCAGAAGTCACATGGCACAAAGTTATAGTCCAACAGACTTGAAAGAAATCCAGCTTTTGGAGTGATGCACCATCAGGTGAAGTGACAAAATGCACAGGCACAATTTATTTGCAGGGAGATCTATAGGCAAAAGAGATCAAAAGGTCATACAACTGGGGAGTGGCGTCAAATAATAAGTCTCTGCAGGTGATCAAAAGTCAGGTAGAGAGAGTAAAAGAAAAAAATCAGATGAATAGCAAGTGAAGGGATGACAATCTGATCTGAGGCAGGGAGACTATCAAAATTAAATGTGGTGGAGACAAATCAAGTGACTGGAACAACACGATAGGTACGAGTCCCATGCTGAGGGTGTAACCAAAACAAGTACTCCAAAATCTGTACAAGCTAATTAAAGTAGAGATAAACTTAAAAAAGGTGGTATCAAAATAGAACAAGGAAGATTTTACAAATACAGAAGTGTGGTGGGGTCACATGTAGCACAACATGAACCCAAGATCACAGTTGAGGTTGTCTTCATAGGTATGGAACTTGGCTATTAGTTTCTGCGTGGCAATTCTGCGTTATGCATCTTGAAGGCTGCTTTGGAGGATGCTTAGCCAAAGATCGGAGGCTTCATGTCCTTGACTGCTTAACTGGAGGGAACATTCCTGCCTGACAATTGTTGCAGATTCTCCATGGTCTCACCAATAAACCATGCCTTGGGGCATCCTTGCCTGCAGCATACGAGATAGGCAACATTTCCCAAGTCACATGAGTATCTGCTGTGTAGTGGGTGGTGTTCCCATGTGTGATAGTAGTATCCATGGGAATGATGTGCCATACCTTGCAGAGGTTGCCATGGCAGGGTTGTGTGGTGTTGTGGTCCATGTCCTGAAGGCTGGGTAGTTTGCCACAAATGATGGTCTATTTAAGGTTTGGCAGTTGTTTGAAGATGAGAAGTGGGGGGCATAGGGATGATATTGGTGAGATGTTTGTCATCATAGAGGTTGAAGGTGGTGAAGAACATGGAGTGGAGAAACTACACTAGAAAATACTGTGACAAAAGG